CTATGAAAATGACTAAAATTAAAAGGTCGCGTTGTTTTAAGCTTTTACAACTAACCTTACCTCAAAACAAGACACTTACCAAGTTATTTTCTTCAGTATTTTCCCCTCAAATGCTCAATCTTCAGAAAAAACCACAAAGTTTAAACGACATTTATTTTGCTGTAAAATCCCGTTTGATTTCTTGCTCTCGTGATATTCGTGGCATTCGTCCGTTTTGCATCCCAGCGGTTCGCAACAACCAATAAAAACACGTTTTCGTGTTGTTCAAATCATTATTTTACCGTCTTTTTATAACAATGCTGTTCACGGTTGTTCGAACAACTAAAAACAACTTGTTCTTTCATCAATGTTGTTCACGCTTGTTCGAACAATATTGTTGACGCCTGATGAATGAACAACGCTGAACAACATTGTTCCGACAACATTTATCAAGCATGTTTCATCAACCTTGTCGGACGCTTGTTCCATCATGTTGCAACAACCATTGTTCGTTCATCAAGCGTGAACAAGTTGTTGGAACAATGTTGTTAACGATTGTCGCTTGAACAACGTTGTTCAGCCATGATAACCTCATTGTTGCAACGTTGTTCAGCGAACAATGTTGCAACAACCTGATCAATTTTTACGCGTGTACATAGTTCAGTGGTTTGACTACCGACATACCGCTGACTGATTTTAGATTAACAGTGGGCTAAACCATAAGTAGGCAACAGAAATTGCAGCTTTAATTAGTTCTGTAAACTGGCCATTTCATGTATAGTACACATGACTATTTGTAGTGTTCATAGTGACTGTTTGTGTATTAATGCCTTCCAACTCAATAAATTTCACTTCTCTCTTCATTTCTAGATTGTAGACTATTTTTCATATGAACATTTCTACGTCATCTACTGCAAATTCTGGGAGTTAGATTCTGATCACGATATGTTGATTGACGAGAAGGAACTTTTAAAACATGGAAACCATGGTATGTTTATCTCTGAATTGCACTCTGCAAACAGAGTCGGTCGGGTTTATCGGCGCCCGCAATCCTCGCTAAGGACTCTTTGGAATTTTTTACCTTTACTGCTTTAGCCTTCAATGATATCATTTATAATTTATATTATTTATAACACACATACAGAGGAATATATAATAATAAATCATTTATATTTGCATAAAACACATACAGAGGAATATATAATAATAATAATAATAATAATAATAATAATAAATAATAATAATAATTAATTAAAATAATAATAATAATGATTTATTAGCGATTCCAAATTGAATTGGCTCTTCTATCACTAAATTAACTAATCTATATTAACAAGTACTATATTTACAATGAGTAGCTATGAAGAGTTCATACATCTATACAGTACATTCACACAGTCACAGTACATATTTCACAAAACAGATGTAACGAAACATAGTCATTTATACCCCGGCCCGAGCCTCTCGAATATATTACTGCTTTTAACGTATTTGCATTAAATAAAGCCAAGTTAAGTAATTTTTTTTCTTTGTCATAGCAATATCCTCCAAGGTTGTTAACAGGATATTTTCTGGTTGTGTTACGAAGTAAGTTTGATAAATATTAAAGCAAAATTATATATGACAAAATTAACAGTAATAGTATATATATGAGTATAATGTGATCACTCATTGTGATTTCGCATTTTGCAGATGCCCATCAAATAATGGTAAAATGACGTACGAAGAATTTGTTTGGTTCTTGATAGCTGAAGAAGATAAACGTCAACCAAGAAGGTACGGTTCATGATAACTTGTACGTATAACTCGTCCACAACCCCTTACTGCTTTTCCAAAAGGAGATGCAGATATTATATGCATATTTGGCGGCCTTAATGCCCGCCTATCAAGAAACAGGATCACAACATCTTTACAACCACATGAAGCTAATGAATCCTGAACTGCATACTGTATATTGTATGATCCTATTGACCCAGATGTGATGAACAGCCTTTTAGTTAGTTTAATTACCTAAACAATCCCTTATTTATTTATTCTTGTGGCTTCCAATGCTCAATCCTTCAACTCGGACGAGAACCAAATCCCGAGGCATTACAACGGCCTTAGCCAATGAATGAATCCTAATTTATATTTTATATTCCTTTATTTTTATTAGTATTGAATATTGGTTTCGATGTATGGACCTTGATGGTGATGGTGTGATCTCTCTATACGAACTGGAGTATTTTTATGAAGATCAAGTAGCAAAGATGGAAGCTCTAGGAATTGAAGCAATGTCATTTGAAGACTGTGCATGTTCAGTTCTTGATCTAGTGAAACCAAAAGTTGATGGAAAAGTTAGTTTGGGAGATCTCAAGAGATGTGGACTTGCTCATATTTTCTTTAATACTTTTCTCAATTTGGATAAATATGTCGAATACGAACAGAGGGATCCTTTCGCTTCTCTCAAGGTGTGTATAGCAATAGTGTACATTACCATTAACTTCCATTATTAAAATTTAGGGTACCAACTTGCAGTTTATTAAACACAATTTTAAGTAATTACCCCCGTAGAAAGAAATGTCCCACTCTCCAAGGCAATTTGGACATATAGACCATTTGCAGAGCCCCGACGACTTTCTTTTCAAAACTGATGATAATAATAAATCTTTAAATATTGCGTAAGATTAAATAGAATTCAGAAGGAATCGAAGAGTGCAGTCAAGGAAACGCTGTAATAATTCTATAAATGTGTGTGTCGTTCACATCTATAATGATTCATTCTCAAGTTTATGTTATTCTCCTTTTCTTCAAGGCTGATCCAGATGAACGTGTGCCGTCTGACTGGGAGAACTATTGTTTGGAAGAGTATGGATTGTTAATAGCAGAGGAAGGCAGAAACGATGATAGGTTAGTATTGTTCTATTTAGATTTGATCATCGAAGTAGCAATAGAGATACTTAAAGAGTCCTGGGGCGCTTTCCATTTAATGGTCTGACCGGTCAGACCCGAATTCTTTTCTCTGCATCAATGGAAAAATCTGGTCTATGTTTCTCAAATATCTAGCGAAAATGGACCTCATTCTAATGTTATCTAAATTTTCCGGTCAGATAGGTCCGAAGCCCAAATGTTTTGTGTTTCATTCAACAATTTGACCGTTCTGAACGGTCTGTCCGTGTTAATGGAAAGCGCCCCTGGTCAACCACAATGCAATGCGTGCGTTTGTTTACGTTTCTGTTACGTTGTCGGCCAGAGGCAGCCATTTTGTGTGGCCTCGAAAATGGCAGCAACAATTGATAAAAGTAACGGGAAAACGTAAACAAAAGCGCTCATTGCATTGTGGTTGACCAGGACTCTTTAATAAGGAGCGGTTGTGAAAAATTCAACTTAGCTAGATGCAGAATCTATTAACCAAGAGCTACAATTCTGATAAAACAGGTGGACTACACGTGCACAAATCGCTCCCTCAACCCCCCCCTTTCATGTCCCCTTTGATGGTCATTTCCTGATATAGTGGGGTAGTAATACCGAAATATATTTTTGTGAGTGTTATTTTTCAGTTTACACACACTGTATCGATATCTCAAGTTCAGACAATGAACAGTTTATTTCAAATATGTTTTAAAATGTTTTCTAAATCTGCCAAAGCCAAAGGATAAAAACTAAATATTTTCCACATTTGTACCAGTAAGTTCTATACCAGGATGGCAAAAAGATGGTTACGCCCAGTTCATGTCCGTTATGTTCCACCGTATTAATCATATTCAATCATGTTTTCCACTTCAACCGTACCGTAACAAACTGTATTGTACCATATCGTGCTTATGTGTGAATACCACTACGCTGAGTACCTACGAAACGTAGAATTGTAGAATTACGATATTTCTGAAATGAAACACGCCTAACATGGAATCGAGTTTAGATTTTGAACGTGTAGGCTACACCAATTTGCTAAATGATAAAAAGATGGTTATGCGACTACGTTTTACCTAACAGCAATTTTCCATCTTACAGCAAATATGACGATGATTTATTGGATTTGTATGATGATGATGAGCTCTACAGGTGACACAAAAGATGATATTTACGAAGGTGTTAGAAACAGGCAATACAGATGATTTACACAAAAGTAAAAGAAAATGTACATATTAGATAACTGTGGAAACTACATGTTACAGTGTGAGTTATAACGGTCAGAAATGCGTTCTTTGCAAGACGTTTCCTTGCGGCACGTGATTACTACTACCAGAATGCTTTGGGAGTATTTGCTATCTTTTCTACTAAGATTCGATAGCACCATCCTGCAGTCACGATTCAGTGAGCTGACTCTTCCGTTGTCTTTTCATTGTTTTGAAGATCCTACTGCTCTCCATGCCATCTAACGAATCATTGTTTTGACACATTTGTGACGTTATTCGCTTTTACTGAACAAAACACTGTATGCATGGCCGTTAATTTTTTGCACGGTACAATTTTCATCTAATGGCATTACGATGAATACTAAACTTATTGAAATATATATTTTGAGTTTTGTGCACTTTACAAAAAGGGTTAACGTTTTAACAGTTAAGACTGTAATTTTAGTTACGTTTGTAAGTAAATTTCAGATATAAAGTGGCCGTGTGTTTGATATATAATTCGCAATCATCTGATTAACACATGTTAAAATGTGCATGACACGAAATTTTCTCCCAATCACTTTTTTCCCTTCTCACTTTTCTCCCTCATCACTTGAGTTTTTTGTTGTTGGAAGCAAAGAATTGGACAAATTAGCCATTCCGAAGTTGATGAGAGGATTGGGGACGAGTGTTAAAAAGTGCCCAGATTAAGAAGTGAACCAAATCACTAAAAAGACCACCTCAAAATTAGTAAGTATACAAAGTTTGAAGACGTTTACATGAATATCCTTCGAATAATAAGCTTTCCAAAATTGTGAAATTACTGATTAAAAGATTGTTTTTGGGACGCGCGTCCCAAAAACAAAAATTACAGTACATTTCACAGTAAATATCACGATTTTCGAAAGCTTATTATTCGAAGGATATTCATGTAAACGTCTTCAAACTTTGTATACTTACTAATTTTGAGGAGGTCTTTTTAGTGATTTGGTTCATTTCTTAATTTGGGCACTTTTTAACACTCGTCCCCAGTCCACTCATCAACTTAGGAATGGCTAATAGGACAGAGAAACTTGAATGGTAACTAGTGTGTTTCTATGACAACCACATAAACGTTCCAAAATGTTTGCTTTAGGTGCACTTACTGACTCTACCAAATTTCATTTAATTTCGTTGAATCACTTCTGAGATATTAGACTTTCTTCTTTTTGCTGCCATCTTAGGCACAACTACTACTAGTGACGTGATGTGTCATTACAAAATGTTCGATAACTTGGGAACAATGGACCATTTGCATTATAGACTACATTTTGATCTAAACAAGTCTAGACAAAAATTTCATCACAGCTTGAAAGAGCATCACAAAATTAGTAATATTCCAAAGTTTCGTTGCGAAATGGTGTAAAATGCGGATAATATAGCCTTGCGAAATTTGCAATTTTCAGTCATTTTGTATTACGAACGGGAAATTGATGCCCCAACACCCGATTGGGCTGTC